TCAGTTTCTTCAGGTATTTGAATTCTTAAAAAACTGCAGCAAGGCGAACAAAAAGTTTACATGATTACCGTGGTCGCGCAAAGTCTTTTCTGTAGAACTCTAATGTTCTAAGTTCCTTTAGTTCTCTAGAAATCGAGAAACTATCGGCAATTACCGAAAGACCGGCTTCAGGAGTAATTAGTTAAAGTAGAAAAAGGCCGCCATTTTCGCATCAAATCCATTTAATCCAGTGTATGTTGGATTTTGTGTGTTGATTAAAATTACCCATGGACAGCTGGAAGTTCTGATATACTCTGAGTACTGAGGAGAGGGGAGAAGTATTTCTTCACGTCTTCAATGAATCTCAGGAATTGGAAAAACCTGATACAATCGCAAACCTAAACTCTCTTCATAAGAAAAAGCTTAAACAGCCAATTTCTTCATAAGATATTGCAGTTGAGAATTCATTAGAAAAAAGTGAAGAACATGCTTCCATTCCATTACTAGAGAATATGAGCTTTGTGTTCAACTACGAAGGGAAAGGCTGAAGGATCAGTCGCCAGTGCATTAGTCATCGAAGTTGAAAACAAGAGTAATACATTCTTCTGAAAAGAGAAAAAGCCTGTGATAATCCTATCGTCAGAAATTACACGTGCTCATAAGGAAACCTAATGGTGATACTGACGTCCTACCGGGAAAGAGCGACCAGAAGCGATCACCTGCGTTGAAGACGATCTCCAAACACTCTACTGGCACGTTCATCTACTTAATTCATATGCATTAGTATGAGTCATCTTCACAGTTGTATCCCGTTATTCTCCTCACTCGGCTCATCATTTTGTTATCCATTTACGTTTTCGGATTTGTGTTGGGTTCTGCTTCTAGTTGAAGATTCTGTATTATTAACAAATGCCACTTAATGGTTTTCTAATTGATTCTCTTTGGATTCATGAGACACTATAGAGTTCCAGGCCTTCCCCGCAAATAGCCACCTTTTCTCAATATTCTTTTTTTTCTTTCTTTCTTAGCTTTCTTTTTCTTAGAGCTTTCTTAGCTTTTTCCAGACAAGTCGGATGCCAACTAAATACGGGACATTCAGGAATGTAAAAATTTAGAAGTGTGCAACTCTAGTTGTTATTCGATAGCCTAGTTGATAAACGACAATTCAAACAAATTTCTTTTCTAATGTAGTTATGTATAAGTAGATAGCTTCTCATTATGCTTAAATCATAGCAGTGCAATGAGTCTTTCCTCTATATGAGCTTCTGGTTCGACGATTTTAATAGAACTCCATTTGTTAATAAAATTTTCAAAAAAATCTAATCCTTCAACAAACCTAATAAACCTTCAGCGGAAGCCTTGTTAGTCCCCTTAGATCTTTGTCATGGTTCCGCTGTGATTTCCCTACTTTGAAGCTTTCATAGAAGCAGATAATAGCATTCATTCATTCTTAGGTCTTTGGGTGTTGTAAGCAATGCAAATTATGTTCCACAGGTTTATCCTATTTAATTTGATTTGATTTCATTTTATTGCACGATCCCACATTAAATATTGTGCTGATTCCGGAATTTCAGTCACTCCATCAAACATACAAGAATGCCTTCGGATCTGCACGAAAGTTCGGCCTTTACTTTTTCCCTTTACTTATGAATGTCGTTTGAGAGCTGATCAAGTCGATTCTCCTAAAAATCTGAGAGAGTAGTGTGCACGACAGCATACTAGCTCATCGTCACAAGGCAATCGCCATTTTATGGATCAGAAGAAGCTCGTCTCACACAACTATGATACCATCGCGATTCAAAGAGATGGGAGACTTCGTTATCGGAGCGTGGATTCAAGCCATCGTATGTGTCCGCAACTGTTGAACAGAAGCCCTTATTAGTGCGCTTTTCGCACCATCTTTCTTCGATTTTCTTCCACGGGAACATCGCTGACGATTGCCAAACTGTAGGAACAAAGCGTGAATGTGCAAGACTAGTCACGGATAATGTGAGCCATATACGTCATCTCCATTCTTTATTACTCGATGACCCTATTTCACAAGAAATCGGTCGCATCGGACCATATTTTCAATCTGATTGCTACACTTTATATTCCTGAGCAAACACGAAATGTTATTTTGTTTTTTAATTTACCAATAAACTGACGTTTCAGAGGATTTCGCCTTCCTCAAAGCGTGGAAAGGTGAAGTTGACCACAATCTACCGAGCCAAACACCTTTATAACTAAACAAAGAAAGTGCTAAACGATCGCTGTACTGTTGGTTGAGAATGGTTCTTTGCTTTGCAGATCCAGGTGGACGTGTTTTTTTTCTCATGTCGTCATCATAGGAAATCTTTGGCCACTGTGAATACTTACTTGATACTTAATACTTGAACAGCCCGTCTTCACTGGTTGTGCGGGCCCCAGCATAATCACTACATTTTGGAGACTTGCTAGTTAAGCCATTGTGATTCCCTGGAATCCTGAGGTTAGCCTGGCCAAAGTCTGTTCTAGGTCTTCACCACCACAGACATTCGCAGCCCTTATGGATCAGAGGGAGATTTCCCACCATGCGACTTTGATGACAGGACGGTGGTGGATCATGGTATTAGTTTAGTTTTAGTTAGGCTTCTTGATGGAAACGCCGGACTCCTTCTCAGCTTGGGAGACCCTGCCGGTGAGACGAATTCCGCTGCTGTTTCTCGTTGTCCGACACCCAAGAACACCTCCCAGTCACGATGAGGGCGGTAAACCGTTGCGGTCACTGTGCATAGTAATAGGATCTTTCAATTTATGATTAGAACATTTCTTTCAAAAAGTATACCAATTATTGTTGGCACTGTTTACTTTTAAATGGCTTCCAAATAGAACCATTGGACACCTTTCGTTTCTTAGCAACTCTCAATGATGAAGCCTAGCTGTGCATCACATTCTTCATTCAAAAGCACCATTAGAAAAATACTGAAAGAGCCTTTTATTTTTCGAAGTTTCAAGAAAAGCGAAACTAAATTTTAGAAAAACGCACGATGTTGCCCATAGCCTGATTGGTTTACAGTTATAGAGATAAATAAAATTAACAAGATGTAGATATTGAAAAGCCTGTAGAATCTATGGTCGGCAAGAACTAACACAATTTACCAAATAAATTCAGTAGATGCCTTACATTGACAAAGTCTCAGCATACGGTAGAATACCGCAAAAGTGCAGTCGTAAAATTATAAACAACTTTTATTTGGAGATTTAAACTAGAGGTCGTTATTTTATTCTTCCTTCATAACAAGCGGACTTTCCGGCAGACTTCACCTCATTCAGAGGATAGAATGGTCAAGTTGGCTGCAATCTATCAAGCCAAACACCTCCATAACCAAACAGAAAGGATTTCCTGAACAGAAACAAGGAAAGATTCTGGACAGAAGCAGAGATTTGCTCATTCAAGTTATGGAGATGTTTGGCTCGGTAGATTGCAGTCAACTTGATTTTTCCAGGCTCTCAGGAAGGCGAAACCCGCCGAAAGCTCGGGTCGTTCATCTGTAAAGAATAAAATAACAACCTCGTGTTTGTTCATCAAGAGAATGGTGAACTACTCGATCAATGAAGGGGTTATTATCCTAATTACCTTAACCTACAGGTTATTAACTTTATTAATTTTTTATTAGGTTTTATTAGAAAGTCGGTCGTGACAATGAAAATGAGAAGAAAAAATACCAACAACTGGGTAATTTCGACCAACTAAAAACAAAAGACGGTAGTGAATAGAGAAGTTTACAAAAACGCAGTTTTTCTCTTGTTTTTCCTTTCTTTTGAAAAATTATATCCCTATAGCGTTTCCCATCGTTCATCTTCGTCAGTTGGCAAAATGTAACATTTCTCTTTCTAGCTGTCTTTTTTACTTCATCTTTTATCTAGAAATATTCGCAATAATTATTTCCCTTAGAAAAATATTCGAACATAAAAAAAGATTTTTGACCATATTTTTCTACTGCAATGTACTGCATACGAATGGCTTTCACTGTAGTGAGTTGTAGCAAACGGCCCTAGAGAAATTCGTATGTGATGAATATGAGCCATATATGGCTCATGGAGAACGACAGAGTGAAAGCAGTATAGGTTTTCAGAGCGCAAAAAAGCGTTCACCTTTTCAAATTGGTTGTTTAATTGCTATTGAGGAGAGTGCGGTAAGCTGTTGTTCACAGCTTCAGAGAAAGCTGAAAGTTTTCAAGAAAAGGAAATTAGTGCAACATTCCTTACAATATTGTAGGCAGTAGAGTTTAGGTATAATATACTTGATCTCATGTAATGCATGCGGCGAGGAATATATCGGGGAAACGGGTAGACCACTTTGTGTCCGCATAGAAGAACATCTAGATGGAAAAGCTAAAATCCGTTTAAACACCCCTCTAGGTACGCATAGGGCACAAAAGCACAACGGCGATGATTTTGAAGTGAATGTGCGGATCCTAGCGCAGGAATCAAGAACATCAACGCGCAAAACTCTTGAGGCGTTTTGGATAAATTTCAAAAATCCAAAGATGAACCGGAAGGACGAATGCCTCACTATCACGCGTGACCTGGCGCCCTATTTCAAAATGATATTTTGACCCCGGGGCGTGTCTTGCTCGCGTGAACTACGTGTGGGCCAGTCCCGCGCGTAACATCACGGTGAGTGGCCTTTCTGTTCAATATGACGTCTATTTGAAAGTTTGATCTTCATTAATACTTTAACCTTCTTTTCCACCGAATAATAAAAAGTATTCTAACATGAAGTACGTCCAAGCTCTGAGGAAGGCGAAGTCGCCGAAACGTCAGCCATCGATCAATAACATGAAAAACAACGACAACGACAACGACAACGAAGATCTGTACCAACCTCGCGTCAGCTTAAGAAGATTAGTTTATAAGATCACATAAATAAATAACACCCTTAGCATAACTGAGTTCTATGCCGATTTGGCCTCTCGAGAACAGTTTTGTTGATGGCTAATTGCTGGTGACACCGTTAGGTAGAAAACTGGCTGAGAACGCCAGATCAAGGGTATAGCATGCCGTCCAATTCGCGCAAGGGTAACACGTGGGCTCTCGGAAAGGGTAATCGCGGGTTCGAATCTGAACTGTGTTTCCTGTTTTTCAAATATTTCAGCATCATAATGGTCGTATTTCACATCGTACCCGAGTCAATTTATGAGGAGGATCAAGTCCTCAAGCAGCAGTTGAATCTACATGCGACATTCGAACACCTTCGTGGATGATGGAGACGAATTGACTAAAGTAGGTGTTGTGGAATCTTCCGCTAAGTAGAAACTTTGCTGTTTGATATTGTATGAAGAGGAGTCACTCCCATAAGTGGCCATTATTTAATGAGCATTCTTCAATAACAACGTCAATAGAGTCTTTCAAAATTGCGAAACCAAACAAATCCTGTGGAGAAACAACTTGCTATTTAAATTTCTAAAGCCCGAATTTAATTTAACATCGACATTAGTCAAAAATTACTGTCTTTCTGTGAAATATTCTTGACGTGGTTATAAAACGTTAGAGGGTGAAGCACCCAATGTTAATCAATCTCTTAGGTATACGCCATAAATTCGATTCAATTAGTAGTGACTTAGAGGTGATTGAATGTATATTTATGCCTATTCAACGAGTTGCAGTTCCGTACCGATCTAGCATCTCGATGTTTTATCCTCCTAAACAAGTCTGCTACGAATTCTCCGACCGTGGACTCCGAGGGACAGAAGGCTTGGTCTGCATAACGAGCACTATCGAACCAAGTACTATTTGTCTACAGCAAGCCACTTTTAGCCATTGCGCTGCTCTATGAGGTGGTACGTGGTTACTACTACGTTTTTCTACTTCTCAGTTGCTAAAGTTTAGCCAGATTGACCTCTTCAGAGGCCTAGTTGTTGCGTTGTGGAGTTCCCAGCGGAATGAAATTATCGCTTGAAACCAATATCGTAGTTTATAAGCATTCAAAATTTCATCATTAAATACAACGCAGATGTTACAAACAGGCACTTTTGCGACATTACACAAAAGTATGAAATCGAGAAAAAAGTCTATCATATGTATCATGTATCCTTTTCAATTGCTATTCAGATGAGTATAATTTGGAGTCAAAACCTTCCCTAAAAAGCATTAAAGTTGTACACATGGTGCGGTCAGCGCAGAAATAGCATGCCGTCCAATTCGCGCAAAGGCTGGTTCGACCCAGGTCTGAGACGAGTTTCTCCTCGGAGCAATGAAATTAATACCAAATTTGATATGAATTAGTTTGTACCTTTCAATCCACAAAAGGTGGAGACTGTCTATAATGGAAGGCTAAGGATGATCTAGTACAACTATCCTAAGATTCCAAGAAGAATAGAGCCGACTAGCACGAAAGATTCATTAAGAAAATATAAGATCGATGTATCCATGTATGCTTTTGTGAACTACCCGTGTTGGCTTAGGTGAGGTTGGCATAAGTTGTCGCTGTTGTTGTTGCTTTTGGTCGATGGTTGGTGTTTCTTCGCCTTCCTCAAACTTGCAAGCATTTTATGTAACAGTAGCCTTATAATTCGATGGAATATCTGTGGTACTAATGAAGATATAATAAACGCCATTTTGTTTGAAGAACATGTTGTTGCGTGTTGTGCCATTGCGTGTGAGACCATACTTGCGTTCACGTGGGATGACTCGCTGAACACGCCCAGACCAGAAAATATATTTGAAAACAGACACAAGATCGCGTGTCATATCTAGGTATTCGTTCTTCCGGTTCATCTCTGCACTTTTGAAATTCATCCAAAGTGCTTGAAGAGTCTTGCGTGTTGATGTTTTTGCTTCCTGCGCTGTGATCCGGACAGTCATTTCAAAATCAAAATCGTTGTGCTTTGTGTCCTACGTTAACCAAGAGTAGTGCTTTGGCGAACCTCAAGTTTCCCGTAGAGGTGTTCGTTTATGCGAACACAAAGTAGTCTTCTTGTTTCCCAAATGTATTCTTCATCGCATGCCTTACATAAGATCAAGTATACTGTAACTGAACCCATGCAATCCCCGTCTCTCAAGCTAGTACAGATCATACCGTTTTCTGAGCTGCACAAACGATCATAGAGACGGACGAGGACTAATTGACGGCGTAGGGCATTGGATGGGAGGTCAATAAGCGCCACTGAATTTTAGAAACACTTTTTCTTAGGTGCCTCTTAATGGCGTAACTTATTTCGTTCTATAAGAAGGGTATCCTGAAAGGGATCTTACTTAGGTCCGAAAGATTATTTTGGGGAAAAGCCCAACCCTTTGGTCTGACCACAATGCCTTCTGCTCCGTAGCCAGTGAAATGCCTACTTTTCGTGCCAAGTTTAGCAATTCCTTCCTTTCCTCTTCTCCTGTGGTGACATTTTTTGACATCCCAGGGAATCCTGTCGCTAACTGCTCTTCTCTATCGCTTGTCGTTCATTTACAAATCGACTGATAAATTGTTGTCCTAAATTTTCGATCGTTGACATAGGTCAGGACTTCGGATTCCTTTTCTCAATTCTGTGACACGAAATACTCCTAGCATCGTCCTTTCGACTATGTGTTCTATAGCGCTGAGTTATCTTTCAGGCACTCCCATATTGTCCCATTGCAGTGCTCGTTTCAAATTCTGGAGGATGGCAGTAAATCATGTTGGCGAGATTAGATGGGTTTGCCTAGCCCCTCTTTGTCCGTTGATGCTAATATCGTTGTAGAGTGGTTAAATTTTGGTGGTGGAATTTTTATATAGTTCTCCAGGTATCTTTATATAATGAGTGGAGATGCCATGGTTATCCAGGAGTTCCATAACTGCTTCTGTCTCAACTGAGTCAAAACCTTTTCTTAAATCAATGCATGTGAGACACAGCGGTACTCTAACGATACTCCAATGAGTCTTGTTATAGTACGGATAACGCAGCGTGCTCCTTCTAACATCGTCCTTTCGGCTGCGCTTTCAATAAGTTTTATCTCACTAATGCAGTGACCAGGTTTCTGATGCATACGTTAAAGCAGGAAAATCGTGGAGTCTAAAAGGTGGGCATAGAGTCGGGTGTTCTTTTTTCTATTCACTACATCCTCGACACTCTTGAAAGATCTCCAGGCCACTCCTTTCTTTCTGTTCAACTGCAGAACTAAGTCGTTGATCGTACTGGGTTCCCGACTTATATAGAAGTAACTGGAACACGGGATCCTCTGGCTTTCCAGGTCTTCTATGACTGCTATCACACTGCTATCAACTGAGTCAACAGCTTTTTTTAAATCGATGAAAATGAGACAGAGCGGTCTTTTCTACTACTGTGATACTTCAATCCCTTTTTCTATCGTGTGGATGTGGTTCATTGTACCAAATCCTTTCCGAGATCTTGCCTGCTCATATGGCTGTCCTTGGTCCAGTGATCTCTCACTCCTGTCAATCAAATCGATTTTCGTGTACCTCCAGAAATTAGCTGCAGGTTACATAATGTATTACCTATGCGTGGGATAGCAAGAAGGTCAGCACATTTCATCTAAATGAGGAGCAGTAACTATCCGTTCAGAGAGAATCCGTTTACAAAATGCTCATCGGCTCAGTTTTCAGCTAATCTCACATATGTCTACCAAGTCACGTCATACAAGATCCTGAAATACTGGCCTATTATTTTGCTATCCCTAAATTTCGTTCGGAAAGTATATCAGCAGCCGACCGTCCCGTCCAGTTCGCATGAACGAATTATAGATATCCTTTAACTAAATGAAGATCATACAGCCACACTGGAGGTGGTTGGTAGTAGGATTGACTCTTAGCTGTATATTGTAGTGATCAACTTTAGAATATCAGCCACAAGGATCCTGAGATGTGAGCAAAACTCAGAAACTGAGCTGAGCATTAAACCTTCGAAACCGCGATTCTACTTTCTGGGGATCTAGCGTTACCCATCATAGCAACCAAGGCCCTCGCTTTGCCTTTCTCTCAGCTATGTTTTTACTCTACCGGTGCTATGACAAGCACCCGTCAACGGCAATCTCATCAGCATCCCTATGATCGTATTTCAGCCTACCATGACATTAACGCGTTTAGAATAATTGTGCGAAGTGAGAAGATTTCGACTCTCAATTCACGAACTCAGTGCTGTGGTGCTATAATAATTTTTTGCCGCATTGTCGATATTCTGACGCCGCATGTATTATAGAACAGTGGTTAGAAGTACCTTACAATACACATATGGGTTCTGGTTCGATCTTGTGGTTTAGGGCAACCACTACCCCAGAGTCGCCAGGTTGGCAGCAGATTTTTTTGGAAAAACTCTATTCGACCCAAAAAGGTCGACAGCTCCCTGTGATGAGGAGTTAGTAAAGTTCTAGCATATAAGTTATACAACTTCAATCAGAAGGAACTTGACCAGCACCAACGACATTCGTGAAGGAGAGCAAAATCTTCAACTAGCATCTCAATTTACACAGAAACTCAAAGACCTTGGTGGATAGCGAATGCCGAACAACGAACCGAGTGAATGAAGTACTGGGATGCGCACAATATCTGCGCTGTTTGGTTCTGTAAAAAGATGATATTATCCGCTTTTATTCACGTGAAACACACAAAAAGAATTGTATTGAGATCAATTACGCTTTTTTAAAACGCTAACGAGGAGAAACGCGAAGTTAAAAAAGCCCTCGGTGAAAGACAAACAGAATCAGGCTCCCAGTGAGAAGAGAGCAGATTTTTCACAGCGAACATCACACTACATGAACCTTCAACGTTGTAGGTAACCAGAATACCATATGATCTATCAAATTAAGGATACAAGAGGCTTTGAGACGGTCTTAGTTTGAAGTCCGAGTAATTGTTCAGTTTAGCTTTTTTACAATTAATAAAGTATACGACACCTTCGTCTCACAGACTCACAAAATATGAAAAACGTAGGAGTGTAACAAATATGACAAAAAAGGAAGAGGCCTAGAACAATGGGAAGCAATTCAAAGCATGAAATTCTGACCAAATATATTAGCTGTGGTCAGAAATATCAGACGGTGGTTTCGATTTTCAGCAAGCCATTCGCACGATGAAGTGTGACACTGAACGATAACGACGTTTTCTCATAAGATGTCTGTTTTCCTTAGAGGAATGGCTTGAAGTCCACTAGTAAAAACATAAATCCATTCTATGTGTCACATTGAAAAAAAACGACAGCATGTGGCATGCTTGCAGCTGTTAGAAACCTCTTTATATTCTGTTTTAGGCAATGAACCCAAGTCGACGGCTCTATGACCGTATCTTACTACCGTATTTTGTGGATGGGAAACGTTTTAAATGTTTTGCAATTTAAAAACGCTTCCGAAACTCGCCGACGATGAACTCACGTTGTCTGAACGCTGGGATCGAGTGAGAGCGGCAACTGAACGGGATCGAAAAGGGAGTCGTTGAGACCGCTCCAAGAACGTCGTCGTGATCCATCAACTATTTTATCACTTGAACAAACACCAAATGCCATCTGAGAAAATCGGCAGTCCTGGAGATTGTCCTGAACAGCCTACAGGTTAACTTTCATGAAAACTAGATCAGAAGTAAAAGTGCAAAGGTCTTTCTACTAAACGTAGTTCTGTTTGAATCCATCTCTTTTCTGCCCACGAAAGAGTTACCATGGCACACGACATTCATTTGGTTAATATATGGATCACTGTCACAGTTTCCTTAGTCCACACTACTTTTACAAGATAAAGACTAAAATGCACACAACACTCATCCATTTGGAGGAAAATTCAGGAACTCATCAAAATGACCCATGGATTAACCAGTGGAAATAGCACTTGTCAACTATGTGAGATCTCTTAACAAACGAAATTATGCATTTTTAACCAAACATTATGCATACCCATCTCTCTGCATCTTATGGAGTGGGGAGACATTCCACTAAAGGAAACACTTTGGCTGAAACATTGGATGACAGCACGCCTCGAGAAATGTGGCGAAAAGTTTACATTCTAGGAGAAAAATCCCCGCAGAACTCTGTGAAATATTTATTTATACGATCTTATAAACTGATCTTCTTAAGCTGGTGTGAGGTTGACATAGGTCTTCGTTATCGTTGTCGTTGTCGTTGTCGTTGTTGTTGTCGTTGCTGTTTGGTTGGTCGATGGCTGACATTTCAGTGATTTCGCCTTGCTCAGAACCGTGATGTTACGAGTGGGACCCACTCGTAATCCAGCAATGAAGGATTAAGAATATTAAATAGGTTTTCTTGTGTAACCGAACAAGGCGCTTCTTGTATATTAAAGGGTTTTCCACACTAAGCATAAATCCACCTTCATCCATGTGTCGCCGCGGTATCGCAGGACCCCGATAGGGGTCTGTTGTATGGAACTTGCGAAAGCCGTAATCCAGACAATTTAAACAACGTTTAGAGACATCACTCGAAAACTTATTGCAAGCAAAAATTTCTGGAAGCACAGTCACAAAGTATAGATGTCACCGCTGGTGCTTGCGAACTACTTCAGGAAGTTCATCGTTCATTCATTACCTTAGTTAATTTAGGATAAAACAGGAATGTGGCGAAGTCTGTCGATGTGACCTTGACACAAAAATAAACTTCGTGTGATTTCACATTTTTCGCTTCTATGCTATAAATAAGACGTAATGAAAACGATGCAAACAGTCATAAAATTAAGCCCTAACTTTTTCGGCTTAACAGAATTGCTGCATGATCGGGTCAGGAAAGGCGAGTCAGGCGATCCGTTTTCGGACTCACGGACGTCACTGTCAAAGAGTGCTTAAAATTTTATAAAAGCATTTACAATGAAACTTATATAAACAACGAGCCTTATGTAAAGGCGAGTCAATTCAGCGAAATTTATGATTCAAACATAAAACGCGAGACGTACGTTGTTGATTAATCCCTAAGGGACATGCCATGGATTCGACTATCACTAAGCATCGTTTGAGGTGTCTGAATGTATACTTGGCCTCTGCAGTGACTAGCTGTTCTCGCAGACAAATCTGGCACCAATTTGATGACCCAAAAGATGGAATTCTTGGTGGACGCAGGTGCGGGGTCGAACCAACGACTTCGTGTGTAACTCAGGGCACCCCAATTCATCACACTCGCTCCATAGTTCAAAAACACTGGATTGAATTCATAAAAACACTCAGCGTATTTATAGGTGTTTACATTTGCGAATGTACTGCTTACATTCTTTGGTTCATATCTACGGATGACTTACTTTAGCTTTAGGAGACTGAACATCTGGTTCAATCGCCTTCTCAGAACTTAGTCCTTCAATCACAAACCTTTCTTTTCAAGGACTTAGTTTCTTCCTTCAACTTTCTTTATCAGGCGTTTTTCAAAGAAGGTAGAATAAATAGGCGACTTACACCAGTCGTTACAGTCTTCTCGTCAACGTGATCATTGAGAAAATCGCATTCATTCATGATCGTTTTATGGCGATCCAGTAGCTGTTTTATTTCATTCACATAATCATCTGGTAGCCGTTCGGGATCCGCTTTCAATCTTAAAAACGGTAATTACTTTGTTTATTTACTTACTCAGAAGTCCGCTATTTCTTAAGAGTTGGTGGCAAGAATACTAAGAGCCTGCTAATATCTCACGACTTTTCAAGGCTGAACAAATTTGGTAAGGCTATAATCATAAGCTGTAATTGAAATACACGCATGCCAGGATGAAAATTCATCAAGCAGGAATTGATATGACTTCAGACTCTCCAAGGCGAAAAGTCAGCACCCATCTAAATGTTGTTTATGCTATGTGATAAGAACTATTCCGTAAAGTAAATTAAGGCAAGAAAACAGCGGTCTACATGATTTCTTTTTTTGAAAAATTCGGAGATCCTTAAACATCTACAGGACAACCACAAGGACGCTAATGTTGACCACCACTCAAAACGTCTGTTGAATTTCAAGCCTACAACTGTCAATCCCAAAGGCTCACGCGTCGTCCACTGCACCAACCGAGCCCCTCGCTTTTTTTTTTCTCAGACAGTTTTCTATTGTAATGGTGGTACCACTAATCATCCCTCAGCGGGAACTAGGTGGGCAAATCGGCATTGGGCCCAGTTAAAATTAAATTAAATTTTAATTAATTAAATTTATTAAATTAAAATTAAGTTGCAGTTTAAATCACAATGTTTTAGCTTCTATTGAAACCTAAAGATAAAAGTCAAAACATCTATAAGAGAAATACAACCACAATGTTGCTGAGATATTTGCAAAATTCTGGACCGCAGGTGTCTATGGTGGGGAACGAACGCGCTATTGTCCTTTCCGGGGAGTAACGCGTTCACCACCACACCATGCGGGTCCTTTGTTTCGCACGTCTCTCAGCTATTTCTATCGATCTTTTTGCCACAGCAATCGTTTCCACCATAGACACCTGCGGTCCAGAGTTTTGCAAATATCTCAGCAACATTGTGGTTGTATTTCGCTTACTTAGTAACCTGCCATGAAAATTATAGAAGGCAGAAAACAAAACGTTAAACATCTATAAGAGAGTTTAAACGATCTACTTCGACTAAATTCGAGACTCCGATTTGACTTTTCACGCTGACCTCGATCGCTTTGTCGAATCGCAGTGGGTGCTGCTACGTCATAAATCTAGCGGCCTGGAAGAATCCAAATAGCAAGGCAACAAATCTCCTTACGATTCACAAGTCCTGGCGGGTGTCTGTGACGAACTCATGGGAATGCCTTAGCGTTGCTATCCCAGAGTTCCAGGTAGAACGACATATGACAAGCATTCAGTATGTCAATGGTGAGAAAAGATAAAACTTCTTTAAAACGAAGATGAACACATACGAATTCTGCCACTTTTACGGATGACAGTTCAGAAATAACAAAAAGAGCAGAAGTATTTGGCTCGAAAGAGTTACAGTAGATTTAGTGTTAGGTGCACAAAATCATCACCTATTACTTCGCCAGTTATCGAAACACGAAGCGAGGCACTGAACAACGACTAGTACTAGTGCGAGGAATAGTGCACTGAGCAGACATCCGATTAAAATCTCTGTTACCTGCCAACCATTCATACCTGAAACATAAGGTCAATAAATCGATACGTAACACTATTGATCGAGACTTCGAAAATTCGGAACATTCTTCAAAGAGAATTTTTTTTCTTATAGAAAGCGAAGAAAAAGCTAAAACGTTATGCAACTATAGTGGTTTACATCTCCACACTTTGGTAGTAAGAACCAGGCAGATGAATCATAGCAAACTTTTAAATCTACTGATGACAGTTTGAGTTGATAAGGCAACTTTGCACTGTCTTACATCAGCACACTTATATTTGTGTTTCTCTCTTCTTACTGTATAACAGCATTTAGGCAAGTGTAGCGCAGTAGTTAGAGGCGTGCTGTAATATGCATAAAGTGTTCGGTTTGACACTCCGCTCTAAAAACTCATGCCCTAGCTCTCCATCTCTACGGGTTGGTAGAATGGCACCGGACTTATCTGGAAAGATAAAAACACTGCTGGGTTTCGGAGCACCAAAAGTCAGTGTATTTGCCAAATTTGCATTTAATCCATTCTTCCTCAGTTCTATGAATAGACCCAAATTCGTCGCATTTCCTTAAATGGCAGATAAACGTCAAGGGCTTTGTCCTTCGTAATTGTGATCTTCTCTAACAGCTATTTATTATTTTTCAAAAAGAACGCTTTGCAGTCCTAATTTTTACCTATGAATTGTTTTCAGTCTAAATTGTAAAACTACTGAAAGATAATTTGAAGAACGTCGGCAGTTAATGGAGCGTAAAATCTACTACGCAACAGTCAGTGCATATTTCATTCGTCCGTCCTTCCGTAGTCGCACGCCTTCGCTAAGAGGATAAATAAAGGATAAAGCTCTCGGCGTTGATCAGTCTCTGAGAGATGCCCTATACATTCGACTTCATCAAGTATTGCCAGAGGTGAATGAATACATATCGGCCCCAAACAATGACTCATAGTAGCTTACCGGTGAATCGAGTCAGTGCTGCTATCCTCCCGGCCAGGTCTGGCATCAATTCGCCGAGCCCGGATGAAAGGCTTGGTCGGTTTGGAGTGTGGAATCGAACCCACGTGCATTTAAGGGAACTTCTAACCGTTGCGCTACGCACTTCTCGACGTCTTCATTACCTGTTAACACTAATACACACAATACTCACTAATACACTAATACTAATACACAACACTAATACTCACTAATACAAATACTAGGGAAATTGAAAATTTGATGGCTTATAAAAGAGAATTGATTACACTATTGTTCCGCAATACTAACTTTTCCAAAACATTAGTTTCACTTTGATTCGCACATTTCATTTGTAGTCTAAATTTAAAAAATGCTAAGAAGGGAGTTTTTATAAAATCTCAACGTTAACAGGGAAATAGGCCACGACTTTTCCTTCACTTTTTTCTCGCTTTTATTCATTGATACTATAATCATAAAGATCTCAAGCAAATTTGGTATCAGTTTTATGAAGTCGGTGTGATAATCGACCTCGCGCCGTGCTCAATGGACCCACTGAGTCGAGCTTGAACTAGCACCGTGGTTGTGATGATCAGCATCACTTCCACTGCGTTTCGCACCCCTAACAAAAAAAGAGACCAAATCGAATTGTGGAGCTCACAACTCTGAATATTCAGTTGTTTTTTATCTCATATAATGACGTTCACTCTGAGGTGAGATATATTTGTTGAAACGCGAAGAGAACGCGAAGAACGCGAGACCCCATCATTGACGAGTCACATAGGACTCATATGGTCAAAATCTGTTGAAATCCAAAACGCAAAAATTTCAATGAAATCATAAAGAAACTCTTGAACTACTTCAAGCACCAGTAGACATCGCCGGTTTTTTCACAGTAAACAATAAAATGACATAAATTTATTGAAATATTTACTGAAAGAAGAAAAAAAGCAATCACAGTGAATAACGACGAAGAACTTTTGAATCACAAGCGCGAACGAAATGAGAGACAAAGAGAAGCATTACGGCATTTTCATCTGTTCTCTACCAACACGCTACATCATAGCGATCGAGAGAAAAACATTGTCATTGAGAAATGGGCAAGAAGAAAAAAAAAGAACAAGAAGACGATGCAATGATCTGAAAAAGAAGGGTGAAATAGTGAGATCAAAAGGAGGACAGGATTCGTGGTTTTCGGTCTTCATCCACAGCAATGAAAGAGAATTGCGAGCGTTGAAAGGAGCAACTAAGTTCGCCCCATACAAGAATTACTAACGATACAGCAAATAAAGTAGCATTGGCCGTTTATATGATTACTACTAGATGGGGTATGTGGCTTGGGAGCCGACCATTACGTTGCCGTTATTGCATGGGGACGTTTTCAGCGACAACTAATGCCGATTTTTCAGCGAAATCGCAATACAGAAGTAGGTACTGGATTCTTACACATTTGTTTGTTTATTCAATCACATATCACACCTTAGAAGGACAAACGAAAAATCATTAGAAATTCCGTCTTAGACATCGTAACGAGAACGAGGATGGCCGACTGGCGGGCCAGGGATCCAGAGTCCTCGCTAAAACTGATCCAATTACCTTTCTCTTAGAAGACATTTCTACCATTCTAGACGTTGAGTGTGAAAGTATTCGAGAGAATAGTCTGAACTGAAGTCTGTTCCGAATAAGTAGGACATAATGCAAACAAGTTGAAAATGCTGTGCGATTTCCATAATAAAAATCCGGGTAATCATGACGCACAACATTTCTTGCAAAGCGGACCACGTTTCGAAAACCATACCAACTCAATAAGGAATTACTCCTTATGGCTAACTCGAAGTTCTTAACGGTGAGCTTTCACTCAAAACGACCCGTTGCACAAGAGCAGAAGATATACTATTCAGCCGAAAAAAGCGAATAATTAAGCCGAACGAACGCCGAATCAATCCCAAGAAAAACTAGATGTGAAATAAAGACTTAGACAATGTACTTCGTCGTCATTATTACCGAATAAGAACTTGATGATTGTGACTTTCTATCAGGAGATGGAGAAAATTATAAGAGATCCCACTCATCAAAGCTCTAACATACGAACACTATTGTTTTTTCATCTTCGTGGAATATCCAAAGCCAAACAATCTTGTTGTATGGGTATCCGACGGCAGATGAATAAACAGAATAATGGAATGGATTTTATGATAATGGACCTCCACGGACAGATGTGCTCGTCGTCCAGCTGCATTCACAGCTGGTTCTGAGATAATCCCTTCGCGAACTCCTCATGTGCAGTACAGAAAATCTTAACAGATGTAGTCTGCAATAAAAGAATTAAATGGGTATCATACCAAGATTTATATAATTTGGAAAGCTCACCGTCGATTTTCCTGTCTTTTTTTAGCAAGAGAAAACAAAAACCTCAAAGTCCAACGAACGGAATCCCAAAAGGTAGGATTATTACCGTTATTATCATTATCGTTATTATTCGAAAAATTATTTGTTTAGTTATTACTTTTATTCATCTATTTATTAAAACTATTAAAATTAATCATTGGAAATTATTCATCACCTTTGTATAAGCTTATGAAGGAAAGCGGTTTTAAAACATTGTTACGCTTTGTACTAGCGGATAATGATAGCGACTTCTGCAAGGTAGATTGTCCAGAAAAACAAGTCGATAGCACAGCACAATGACTGTTCTCAACATCCATCGCCCTGTATAAAAAAGCATCACTGTGTGAGTATGGCTCATTCGAGAGATGCTCCACAGTAGAAGATCCCGATCGAAGAAAAAGCGGCGCCACGTCGAGAAGAACAACTGTGGACCATCGACTCGGATTATGATCCTTGATGAAGATGAAGACGTCGAGAGGTTAGCCAAGTAGAAAATTATTTATCAACTGTGTGTAAGCTTACCAAAGAAAAATTGCATAGAGATAGGATTGCTTCGACTGTTTGGGTACCACCTAATAACCTGCCGTTTTCTATAATATCAGCTCACTCATAATCTTCGAAGAAGAGTTTCAAAAGTCGACCTCTCTTTAACCACAAGACGATTAATCAAGATGTATTCATTCATTCACGAACTAACACAAGGTTGTTAAAAAACCGTATTCGTCTAAGATTTCGGAGTGGTTGCCTTCCCCATAGCTGAGTTGAGCCGAGTTGGTCGTCCACAGCTCTTCCTCCTTCCGATGTAGGCTTTGGCAATCGCATCGAATCGAATCCAGTGGTGCATCACTCGAATGAAGAACCTCAACGGCGATACTCCTTTATACAGGATGGTTGTTGTTATAGTGATTGGGAAAAAAGTTCCTGCCAACGGTTTACCGCCTCTTTGTGGCTGGGAGGTGATCCTGGGTGTCGGGCTGCGATGTGCAAGCGGAGGATTCATCCCCCTGGCAGGGTCTCCCAAGCTGAGCAAGAGTCCGGCATTTTCATCAGGAAGCCTATCTAAGAGTAAACCAACACCAAGACCCACCACCGTCCTGGTATCAAAGTCGCATAGTGGTAAATCTCCCTCTGATCCACAAGGGCTGCGGCTGCTTGTCGTCGTGACCACCTGGAGCAGTCTTTGGCCAATCCTGGCCTCGGGACTCTAGAGAACCACAATGGCTTAACCAGCAAATCTCCGAAAATTGGAGATTAAGCTGGAGCCCGTATAACCAGTGAGGATGGGCCGTTCAAGTATCAAGTAAGTAAGAAAAGAGTTTGGAAAACAAAGGTATCACAGATGGGGTTGGTAAAACCACACAACATGTCCAGTGAACTATAAAAATTTTTAACCCCATGTAACTCAGAAAGCGTAAAACCTCTAGGTAGTTACAACGTGTTACAACAATGGGAGATTGGCGCAGTTATAGTTGTCCTCGAAAAATAAGAGGAACGACACGGTAATGAAAGATGGATCCTTAATCACCATGTAGCAAACTTCTCTCCAGAATCTAATGTGAAGGTCAGTAACTCAGCTATCAGGATCGGAGAACGCAATACCATCGCTAATTGGAAAATTCTATGAATATCTTTTTCAATTAGCTCTATCTCTCATCGTGCCATTAAAAAGAGAAGAGGACAGATCATCAATCC